TCACAAAGTCACTCCATTTGATTGGTGAACATTGGAGCATACAATGTCCACGGAATGCAGCCTAACTATATTTCTTGACTTGATATTTTCACAGTTTGGCCAGGGGCTATGAATTTGAAGCGGTTGTCAAGTGGTTCGCTGATCGCGTCGTACGCAACTCAGTTGGGAATGGACAGTTGGGAAAGCTTTTGCATGATACTAACCAAAGCTACTAGTATGTAAAAACGTCGCTTTGTTGAAGCTAAAGGAGGCTTATTGGCAGTTTGTGCTGAACAGGTTTTGTGCTGCTCTGCGCCTCAACCCCTGACGTTCAAAGGGCTCACCATAGGCCCAGAATTTCCAAAACACCCACTCAGCTTGTTGCTGTCTGACATCCCAACAATTTCCAAGATTTTTCAGCTATATTGATCCTGCGCGGTCCCAGCTACAGTGATGTTCTGGGTCTGTTTCGACGGCAAGATCCACCTGGGCCCAAACAGCTGGCGCTAAACAACCTGCAGAAACTGTAGAAACGCAGTAACGCAGACCGCAAGAGACTCCTTGCAGCACTGGGTCTATCCATGTCTATCCTTGCGATAGTGCACCCTCCCCATGCCACGCCTTCCACACCTACAGTGGGCAAAGGGACGGGCTTGTGAAATGTAAACTCGTTTCGGAGCGAAAACGGCCAAGAACCACAACAAGTGTGTTGACTTCCTCCAGAAATTGCATCCGCTGAGGACATGATTGTGCTTCTGTTTGATGTGTCCAAGCTGGACATCAGTGATGAATTCAGGACACACAATCAGATATACACAACCCAGGAATTTTCCGCGGCTGGTTCTTCCTGTGAGGAGGGTGGTTCAGGCAACCAAAGGGAATGACCACAAGATCAGTATTTTGCTCAACAAAGCTGACAACGTCACCACTCAGCAGCTCATGCGAGTCTACGGAGCCCTCTACTTATTTCAGTTCGAGGATTTCAAAACTAGTGAAATGAGTGTGTGCATTGCACCCAAACTTGTGGTGCAACACTGTGTTCCTTGAGGCACTGATGTGGTCACTTGGCAAGGTGATAGATACTCCTGAAGTTGCTCGCGTCTATGTGGGAGTCTTGCCTGCATTGCCAATTTCTACAGCGTTGCCATTTCAGTGGGCGAACCATGTCACCTTCTTCTAGCCAAGGCTCCTTTTGGGACCAGCCATTAAAGAATGAGAAGCTGAGAGAGCTTTTTGAGCAGGAGGCCTCGTGGGCTGTGGGCCGTGGGCATTTTTGCTCCGCTCCAAACCTATACCTTCCAGCTTGGGCAACTGAACCAACGGCATAGTCATGCAGAGCTGTCCCGCGGCCAGGAAAGCGACCTTTATTCCAAAATTGCGCAGTTGCCGCGCAGTGCATCCATAAGGAAGGTAAATGCCCCGTTCTTAGAGCAGCCCAAGTCAGCTTGACACTTTTTTCGCTAGCGCCAAAATCTTTCTAAGGGCTCACCAGGCCGAACCAGTCATGACCTGAAAGTGACTTTCAACTTTTTGCAAAAAGACTTTTGGAACTTTCAACTTCTTCCTCGGCACCGACTCTTCACCTTTCTGTACCTTGTACCCTAGGTCATTTTAGCACTTTTCGACTTTTCGGTTTCTTCCTTTTGGACTTTTGACCTTCCTTTGTCATTGGAAAAAAACTTCGAGACTTTTCGAGACTGTTCGAATCTTTTCGAGACTTTTCTACTTTTGACCAGATTCCTTAAATTTTCAATCTTTCTAGCATACTTATATCTTAAGTGCCGTTACTATCGTCGGATTTTGTCGGCGCAAAAGATTGATGTTATGAGCCCCACAAGAATCATCTCACCATTTATTACATTATGGAAGGAAGTTTAGAAGACAACTTCCGACTTATGGACAGATGCAGCAACAGTGGTGAGAGCGGTCAGAAAAGAGAAAGAGTCAGAAGAGAAAGAGTCAGTAGACAGAAGATCAAGGTGCGCGAAAAGGGAGAAAAGTCGCAGAACACTGTGTTTTTCCAATGTTTTGTGGTTCTGGAGGGGTCGAAAAGTCGGCTCGCTAAAGCGGCGGGTGCAGAGCCATCTGGTCGTATGAGAGATCCAAAATAGCACGCGGCTGTGGCGCGATGCGCGTTTTGAAGCCGAAATGCTGAGACACTTCAGCCTCGGAGCGCCTTTGGAAGTTGAGATGTTTTGAAAAATTGGACAGCGCTGTGGCGCGAAGCGCATTTTGAAGTCAAAATGGTAAAAGCACCTCAGTGTCTGCGCGCCGCTGTGGCACGAAGCACGTTTCGACGTCAAAGCGCACAAAGCACACCATGTTCGGATCACTTTTGGACGATGGGTCGTCGAAAAATCAATAGAGATAGACTAAATTATAGCGACCGACTTACACTTAGAACCTAATTTTGGAAAAAATAAAAATAGCGGCGAATTGATATCGACCAGGTTCTAACTGCACACTTAGAACCCAAACAAGTCAACACTTGGAACCAAATCATGATATTGTTCATTAACAC